TTTATGTGTTCAATAGATGAATGAAAAAAAACAAAATTGTTTGACTTGCTTTTTCTATATTTTCGATTTGATGATACGACAGAAAAACTTTTTCTTATACTTTATGTAAATTGAATAAAAGAAAAAAAAGATTTTTTCCTTTTCAACCACACATAGTATGACATGGTTGTGTTGCACAACGCTTGCCTTTGTATTGGTTATGTCGAAAGGCAAGCTGCATTAATAATGATTTAAGTAGAATACGAAAAAGACGAGCTTTTGATTCTAATACTTCTTGCTCAGAAACATTTATAAAAGGATTTGATGATGATGGTGATGGTTATAATGCTATATCATATTTCATTTCCTGACTGTTGTCAAATTCACTCAATCCATCAGATGATAGATCGACACCAATCACAAGTGGAACAAATGATTATGAGCAATAAAAAAATAAGCGACCGCTAACATATTACATCCTGACCTTTTCTTGATTTTGCATCATGCACTTTCCAATGTCACCACGAGCCATTTTTCTGTGTCTCCCATCCCCCATAGTGTCATTATAGTAATTATTAAAGGCGATATTAAGCATCTATGACAAGTGTTCTGTCACAGTGTTTCAAATCTGTACATGAAAGGGAAACCCATGCCATATGATCGTTTGTATTACCATCGATATACCGCGATAGTTATAAGAGCCAACATTATATCGACGTTTTACAGACGGTAGCGCTTGCGACTTTCGACTCCAGCTATAAACGATTGTAGCGAGTGTTTTCTATTGAAACTCGAATTATCTATTAGCAAGAATTCAAATTAACTGAGAAGAAAACAGTTTTAGAATATATATTACTAAGTAAAAATTTTTGCAGTCCCATCTATAATCACAATTTATCCCATAGTCGGCGCTAATTTGAACTCTATGCTTGGTATAGACGACTCACACACACCAACTGTATCACAGTGCATCGAAAACGACACAATTCTATCAGTTTTAATAGACTTCAAAAATAAGATCGTCGATAGAGTACACATTATACTAATCGATATACTGTCGAGTCCAACGCGGAAGTTCAAAAAGCGCGTGTATTTGCAAGAAATTTTTTAAAACATGCATTTACTTGCAAAATACTTTTAATTCGTTTGATCTCATACGAAATCTTTCAAGGCATTTGAAATATTTACAGTTTTTGCGTATAAATGCAGGTGAACAACATATACATACCTCTGATGTTTTCAGATACCTGCATGTGCTGATCTTTCAGGTTCATGTAAGGTATATGACTCGCGTAGATATGCAAAAGCGTCCTATTTATGGAACGCAATAGTAAAGCGATTCTGCGTTAACTTTCAAAATTTTACTATTTTGTAGTATACACACTGCTTCATGCAAGAATTTAGTTTTTTCATTAATGTGCAATTCTATATTTCTCGTCAAAATAGTGGGTGTGCCAAAATGTTTACAGCACGCTGTATTTTGTATGAATCTCCTGAATAAATGATAAAAAGTTTGATTGTTTTTCAAAAGATGCGCCGTGATTTCTACAAAAAAATGTCGGAACAAATTCCTACTAACATGTTCTGATGGTTTTTCCTATAGTCAAAATGAAACACATACATATTAATGCTACTTTTCACCGTATTTAAAATAATAAAAACCTTTGGAAGATCTTTTCTATTTTTCGGTAGAAATTTGCTCTTACAGCTTTTGTAGAGCTTTTCACGGCGCATTTTTTGAAAAAAAGTCCAGTTTTTATCATCTATGCTGATATATATGCAAAATACAGCATGTTGCAAACATTTTGGTACATCCGATAATATAATAAAAATTATTCTTCTCCTTTACTAACACTGTGTGAACGTTCAATAAAACTCGATGAAATTCGTCGTGTATTTGTAATAATTTTTAAAAATTTTATAAACTGTAATTGACCATCACTTGATGAATCAAATTCTATATCAATTTGTGATCAAAATCATATAGAAGAACATATCATTGATTTAATGACATGATCATTCGAGCATATTCAATAAAAATTATTTGATGCAATAAGAGCTATTGAAAAATGTGATTTTTCTGACCAATAGTCAAAAATTACTCGATATCATGGCAAAACAATTTCAACAACTATCATTAAATTCATTTCAATCAACCAATGGACTTTTAGAAACAGCACATTCACTTTTTCAACAATATAGGTATGAACAAAAATCAAATGAATTATGGTCGAAAATTAAATTAGTTCTCAAAGAATTTGTATCTGCTTTTTCTGAATTATTCATAGGAAAATAAAAATTGCACATTTTATTTTTTTCTTCCTTTATCATTGATAGTATATTATCCACAAAAAGAATCGAATCCAATTGAAATAAAAAAATATTCTTCATTCTTTATACATTATTGTAAGAACCTTTTATGATCTTAATGCTCAAGTATATTCAATACGAAATTTTGGTTTTTTTTTTATTTTAGACATTACCTAAACAATTTGAAGATAATGTAACAAGTTATATGACATATTTTTTAACACTTCTTTCTTATGATCATCCAACACTTCATTCAAATGTAAAATTTGTTTTTTTTTTGTTGTTCAATTCTAGCTCTGTAATAATCGTTTGTTTTTATTTAGAATAATGATCCTGAAATATTAGATCAAGTTAAGATCGAAATTTGTCGTCCTATTATCCTTTATGCAAATAATTGTAGTGATGATTGTAAACCATTTGCACAACAATTACCTTTAGCAGTTTGGTATTTATTAACAGGATTAGATCTTTCACCATGTTTTGATGAAGCAAAATTTTAATTTTAATTGATTATTATGATATTTTTTCGTGTGTTTTAAGTTTTTCAGTACAGCAACTGCGATTTTTATCAAACTTAGCTGCTCGAAATCATCATTGCGGTATGTCTGAAGGTGATGATACTTTAAAAATTGTACGTAAACAATTTATTTCTTTGAAGTTTGAATTATATTTAGCATTGGATGTGGAAGAATTTGAAGATAATCCAGAAGAACATATTAGAATCCTTTTTGCATTAACGTTGAAATCTAACTACTGAAGGGTAGTCTTTCGTTCAGTATTATTCTTCAATGTGCAGAGCATTTTTTCATCGGTAGAATTGTTCCGAACTGCAATACTCCTATTGGTTTTATACATGAGTTGGCATCGTAATAAAGAAAATATAAATCAGTATTAAATGAACTACCATCATCATTGAATAGACAGAGTTAAAAACGATATACAATTTGGTATTATCTGCAGTATATACTGAAAACGAAAATCAAAGCTTTAACATGAAACGTTTAATTTAGGAATATTTACAAAATTCAGCACAAAATTGGTTAAAACAAGGCCACATGCATCGAGTGGCAAAATAGAAAACGTATGTTAAAAGTTTTTTATCTGAACTTGAAAATTAAGATAGAATATCAAAAGCTTTTGATTTTGCTCAAAAGATCATCGTTTTTTTAAATTTGCTATCAGTCTATACGCTTCCATTAATAAAAGCTGATTGTTTGAAATTTTTATTCAATGTTCGAAATTAAATTGATTGTAATGTTTTACTTCAATCATGATCCGAATGTCTTCGATATTTATCATGAAACAATATTATGGTACAAATATATGGAGCACATGCTATTGAACGTTTATTGCTTATTCGATTTTCAAATGATCAAGAACATACAGTGTTTAATCTTTCAATAAAATAATTTTATCATTACATTTGAGGATTTTAAAGGATAACAAAAACGGATTGAAATTCGATTTGCTCGAAGAATCTATGATAGTTTATTTCGAATTTTAACATCAGAAAAATCTTATGAAAATGAATGTGTTATGAGAACTGTGATGAGATTATCATCGTCATCACTTTAGTATGAAGTTTTGGGTATGGGTGTGGTTAGATCTGCGTAGGTATGGTTGTGATCATGGGTACCTATGGGTATCTACTCTTTACAATAACACCCACACCCCGCCTTAATGATATTCAACAGGATGTAAACAATGATCAGCTATTTCTTGTAGATGTTTAATTTCAGCTGTTTTTTTTCGCATTGTTTCCATGAGAGACTTTTGTTGTTGTACATCTTCATGATCAAATGGAAGTATCTTTAAAAAATTGTTTAAGATCAGCCAATACCACAGCCATGCTTGCATACGTCGCCGCAATCGTTGGAGTATTGTCCGACAAAGTACGTAACTCAATTGGTAAGTAAGATAATGCCTCAGTAAATTTATTCAGTTGACAGTAAGTACTACCGATATTAGAGTAGATAACTGCTAATGATGCGTCATCTTTACTCTTAACCATAAGAATTTTAGCCAGGCCTTCTTCAAAATAGTGAACCGCCTCCGAATGTTGACCTTATCTCAGAAGAATATTTCCCCGAAAAATAAAGATATTGACCAAGTTCTGCTGGGTCAGGATTGGCTCGTTTTGGGTGTGAGTGTGGGTGTGGGTGTAGTGGAAAGAAGAGACACACGCACACCCACACCTACTGTCCCTGCATGACATCACATGTAATTGATTCACTACGGTTTCTTCTTTATAATTTGATCTGCATTGTTAATACCTTCGCAATTCGTTCGTGAGCAATTTCTCTCTAATATCCAATGAGTGTGAATGTGAATGTTGATTAATGACAGATGTATTGAAGGCTCAATGGTTCTTTTATCGATGAACGATCAAATTCTGCTTTAGTTTCATGATTAAATCACCGATTCGGTTACCTCTGATTAAGTTATACAAAATTCGTTAAAATGTTTCACTCGTATCTGCTTTCTATGATTCTGTATTATGAAAAATACATTCTGATGCACGAAACCGTGGACTCGGAAACGGAACAGAGATGAAAAGTGCATCGAGATTTTCTTATTTTTTGCAGTTTTGATTCAGAACTCTTTGAAGTTCAGTAATGAGCCCACTTTTAGAATGTAATCAAAGAGACTATAGCGTAAAGATAGAGAAGAAATCAGAGCATTACACATATATGTTGTTTATTTAAAAAAGAAGCATGATGATATTCAGAAATAAACGCAGAAAACCATCGTATTATTCTGATTTGTCTTGCATAGTACGGAACGTAAGATTGATGCGAGCATGTGTTACCTTCTTCTCTTTCGGCACCGAGTGTTTCCAATACTGTTGTGTACCATCTAACATCACGATGAGTGATCCGTTGTTTAACGAAAACTCATACTGTAAAAGAGAAAAGAAAAATTAAAAATGAGTTCAAGGAATAAGAAAGACCCAAGAAACCATAAGATGAATAGGAAATTAGAATTCAACTAAATTACCTCTTTCTTATCGGGCATCGTCAAAGGTTTTCTCTTTCGTGTAAGATCTTTACCGAAATAGCTGAGATGTCGTACGAGAAACCTAAAAATAATACGTATCAGCAAGATACACACATCAAAACTTTGCAAATGAAGGAGATAGCAAAAAGAAACAGAAAAGTGTACTTGCGTGTGGCACCCAATGAAATGGAAGCAATGATGTCTTTTGCTTCGTTGTCAGCATGAAAATTGATATAGTCATTTCCATTTCTGTATAAATTAACTAAACAATAAGCGAATTTCACGCCTATAGAAAAAAAAACATTCATCAGTCCTATTTCCAATTTTCTCTTCTGTTTTTGTTGATCACGCTTTGCACTTACCGAGTTGCTTCTCCAGTTGAGCTTTCAACTTCCGCATTGGGACAGTCCAAATGTGTTGCTTCTGCTTCTGAAATAGCTCCTTTACGACTAATCCCTCTTCTGCGAACCACGATTGAAGACGAGGCTACAATGTCAACATAAAAATGGCAACTCTTGTATCTTCTTCTGGTTTCTTTTCCTTGCTTCTCATTGACTTACCAGATTGACCGGTTTTCCATACATAGAAATAGAAGTATGCTCGAAATTCAACTCTGAAAATAAATACAGGTCAGTGAAAGTGCACATTTTCTTTTCTTCATTTGTTTTGTATCAAGAAGTACCTTCCATCAAATGATCGAACAGAGCATCAGCCTCTTCCTTAGATATGTAATTAGGACACCATTTCAATGCTGACTGAATGTCTATCTTTATTTCTTCCAACTTTGGTGTCTCTTTGAATGTGAACCTAAATTTTCGTAATAAAACAGAAACCAATATCCAAATAACTTCCTAGTTACCATTTATCGTTCCATGCCAGTGTTTTCTTAGTCGCAATTGCATCTTCATTCTTTGATAGAGATGTGCTCGGTGTCAAGTCCGTAACAATTTTCTCCTTCGGGCTCTTCTGCACTTCGTCACTGTCGACTACAGACTCTTTCTTCATTCGTTTGCTCGACATCATGGTAGATTCACTGCTCAAAGAGCATCTTTTTGATGAAGATGAACTTGATGTTTTGTGTATGGTGGTCGGAGCTTGATTCTTCCTGCATGTCACGTCCATTACGTTCTGTGATTGTGCTGATTGACTTTGATTGGCTTTGAGATCTCCTAAGGTATATTTCACACAACTAAGTGTGAGAAAAAAATATGAAGAGAGTAGTCTGAAGATAAAATCAAAGAGAGTAGTATGATATGAAGGATTTGTTTTGCCGTCATTATTTTTCTTATCAGTGAAAGTCAGATAAAATATAGGTTCTTCTGCATAGCTTATTTTGACTATAAGTTGAAACTATGAAATTTCTTGAGATGATAGCTTTGGTTTTGAGCCTTACAGATCACTCTATGAGAAGTCTCTAAAGATATTGCTGTCAAAAGTCAAACGGTGACGTTCATAACTGTTTATGACTACACGAAAAATAAGAATAAGATGAGTTGTACTAACAAATTCGTATATGTAGAACAGTATTTCATTAGCCGACGTTTCTAAATCCACTTCTCTTGTACACACTTAATACACTATCTGCAGTTATTAAAATTGAGTCAAATGTAATCAAGTTGTACATCGATGTGCTCCAAAACAAAAAATGACGATAGTGTACTTTTACTTTTCTGTTTTTAAGTTTTACCGTGTATTTCATCAGCATTAGGCAATGACATGAAGTAGAGAACAGAAAAGAAATAAAAATATTTTGATTACGTGACTATTTGTTTACCTCTTTGATGTTTCATTATTTTGAGTGAGTCTGTCGCAATTATGGTGAAATACACTATTGCACTTATAGTGTGATTCAATGATGCCGCATCAATTAGTTCTTGATACAAAGATAATTTTTTATGGATTTTCAAGATCATATTTCTTAAATTTTTGGTTCGCGATTTATTGAAAGCGTAGTCAAACACACATCCTTACAAAACAGAGTCCAAGTTTCGTCTGTACTTTTTTTTTTCATGGTATTCAGCCCTATCCGACTCGAAAGATTCATTCAAACCTAACAAGTCTGTCAAGATATATTGGTGACCATGCATGCAAAATTTAATGTTTACTCTCTTTGTAAATATTTCTTTTCTTATTGGTAAAGTACCAACACAAGGATTTCTAGTATGTTTCATAGTTGTGTGTGGGTGTGGGGTGTGGGTGTGGGTGTGTGGGTGTGTGTGGGGTGTGGGGTGTGGGGTGTGGGTGTGGGTGTGTGTGTGTGTGGGGTGTGGGTGTGGGTCGGTGTGGATGTGAGTGTGGATGTGAGTGTGGATGTTGTTGGAGCTTCTGTAAAAGACAAAACTCAAACCCCCACCCTCACCCTCATCCTCACCAACACCCACACCCACCGATGATACCGTCGTTCCCTGAGACACTGTTCGATACGAGGCCAGTCGCCATAGCCATTAAAAAGATCTCACAGAGAATCGAAAGAATGAATGAAAATCCAATAAATAACCGGTAAACGAATAGAATAGACAAATATAACCACTCTCCGAAACAACTCATACCTTCAAGCTCACCATAAATGACATACCTCAAATCATTTAATTTAACAACTTTCCTGTGATTTCAGATGATCAACATCACGTGGACCGGGATAAGCTACAATACTAAATCCAACCTACTGTATCGATTGATCGACCATTTATTGCTAGTGATCAAATCGAGCCTGATATACGAACAGGAGACATTCAAATCATAAACATGTTATACTGGACACAGCTTCAAGATCATACTATGTTCATATTTTTTATTATAAAAAAATAAACAAAATTAAAAGAAAATATAAAAAAATTCAGATAAAGAATATAGATATGAAAAGAAATCAAGTGTTGATTTACTACTTATAAGAAAATAGATTTGTTGCATTACCATTCATTAGATTTTCATTTTAATTCTTATTCTGATTGCAAAACACGAAACGAAAATAGTGGTTCACACTGAAGTACGGTAAACAAATAATAAACGTTCCTCAAACTTATGACAGCTAACGTATACGATAACTTACGATTGTGTCTGACCGTCATTTAGAGTCGCCGCATTCTCACGGTAGTTGCAAACGATAAGGATTTATGCTAGTCTTTTACGATGGACGTCATAAAGGGTAAAGTATAATTTACGATCACTGTAAACAGGCGGCGTAAAACTCCGCCGCAGTTGACGGCAAGTACGCTCATTCATTGTCGGGCATCATTGGCCTTGATTACAAAAGGCACTTCAAATATTTTATACTCGTCTTATCGATATATATAGATTCAATTAGTGAATATGTTTATAACTTTGGACGATTTCGAAAGGAGTCATTTGTGATAAAACAATATAAAAAAAGCTAGCGGGCTTAATACGCATATTAACAACAGCGAAGAAACTACATAGAATGCAAGCAAAATTTCTCTTAATCCTTTTTGATTTGGTATATCTGGTAATTCCAGTATTACAAATATATTTCAGTTTATCGCGTTATACAGAAGGAGCATGTCCTGTTCTTTCTACCATACAATATTACCTCTTGGGTGGAGGCATCGCCGAAATAGTTTTGCTATGTTGTCTTATGTCTTATTTGGGAATGAAATATCATGGTATCCACGACGAAGTAACAGTGACAGAAACAATTGAATATCATCCCAACACAGGAATAACAAAAACAGTGGATCGTTGCTCTTGGCGAAAGTTTCTACAGACTGCCATTCTCCTTTCATTGTTTGCTTCCGGTGCGTTCTTTGTTATGGGCCATTGAGTGTTTGTGTTCTACAATAAAGCACAATTTGTCGATCCGTCCAGCAAAACATTTTGTGAAAAACAACTGTTTCAAGCAAATTTTGGTTTGATGATCGCGAGCTATTGTATCGGAATACCGCTTATTATCTTAGCATGTTTCACGTATAATAAGTACTTTCCGAAATAACAGCAACAATCTAGTGAAATAGTCCGCTTTGAGAAGCAAAAGTGCTGCATAAACTCCGCTGTTAATATTATCGCAAACTATGCATACTACAGAGGAAACAAATCCCATTCTTGAGGTGCAAAAAGCTTGACAGTGTGGATATATGTGTGTGTGTGTGTGTGTTGCAGAGTTGTAACCGGATGTGGGTGAATGTGGGTGTGCTTGTGGGCAGGGGCAGGGACGGCGCAAGCGGGGAGGAGTTGGGGAGAGTACCCCTCCTGCTTTTGAAAATTGTCGTTTTTTTTTGCTCAAAATTTGATTCTTTTCACATTTTCTTCCTTTTTTCGAAAGAAGCCCCCCCCCCCCCCCCCCAAATGAACGTTTCTTTCTCAGATTTTCTCCCATTTTTCTAAGGTACCCCTCTGCTTTGACCTCTTCGCGCCGCTCCTGGTTGTGGGTGTGGGTATGGATGTTCGCGTTCGTGTGGATGTTGTTTTGGCTTCTGTAAAATACAAAAATCAAACCCAC